CGCCCGAACTCCCAGAGGAGCGCCCGTGCTCACGCTGCGCCGCAAACGGCGAGCGGCGAGGGAGCACTGAGCGCTTCTCGGTGTCGTGCACCTTCGAATAGGCTGCCTTCAGCACAACCTCCATCCGCTTCGAGTCGTAGATGCCGCCACAGTTGAAGAGCACCTGCGCTCGCTCCTTCTGCGACAGTCCAGCGCCACGAAGCATCTTGCTTGCCAATGCGCGATCGCTGATCGCTGATGTGGGATCCTCGAGCTGCAACTCCATGCGCTTCTTGCGCAGGTACGTGGTCCAATCCATGATCGGCTGCCCAGCTCGACGGTGTGCTCGCTCCCACTCCTGACGCACCTGACCGAGGCGCTCGTGATCCATCTTCTCGAAGGCGTCGTCGTAGATAGCAAAGATGGTCTCGAGCGTCTCCTCGCGTCGGAGGTCCGACGCGTCAAGCACCTCGATGAGCTCTTTGGCTCGACCTGTCACTTGACTGTAGATGATCAGGCCCAGCTCCACGTCTGAGAGCTGATTGAGGTTGCGGATGACTTCAACCTCCTTGCGCCACTCTCGGTACTTCTTAGTACTCGTACCGACTCCACCATCGAACTCTGGGAGCCTCACCTGCGACAGCAGTAGACGTGTACGTCTGGGACCGCCGTCGCCACGATCCCGATGCAAGGCCAAGAGCTCCCGCTGGGTCTCGGCCATCACGCGCAGGACTGCATGCAGGTCCGGGGGACCTGTGCCTGCGGAGGACGCAGCCTCCACGTCTGAGCCGTCTTGGCTGGCGGCCATGGCGGCCCACGCGGGTGGTCACAACCACCGAAGCAGAGCACGCAGTGCGTCCGCTGGAGCTTACTAGCTCCGCTACCAATGTCAGTGCAGTTGTTTTCAGCAAAGACCGCGCGGCAGTCCAACTGCGGGTGCGTCCCAGGGCCCTAGGACTAGGGCCAAAACAGCGGCGGGCAGCGCGCATGCCACAAAACAAGACAAGCGTGTTCAACATACACACATGGTGGCACGGGCGGCAGAGGGGCAGGGGAGTGCACTCTTCACAACTACGACGACGACGGCGACGACGGCGACGACGGCGACGACGGCGACGACGACGACTACTACGACTACGACTACGACTACGACTACGACTACGACTACGACTACGACTACGACTACGACTACGACTACGACTGCGACTGCGACTACTACTACTACTACTACTACTACTACTACTACTACTACTACTACTACTACTACTACTACTACTACTACTACTACTACTACTACTACTACTACTACTACTACTACTACTACTACTACTACTACTACTACTACTACTACTACTACTACTACTACTACTACTACTACTACTACTACTACTACTACTACTACTACTACTACTACTACTACTTACTACTACTACTACTACTACTACTACTACTACTACTACTACTACTACTACTACTACTACTACTACTACTACGACGACGACGACGACGACGACGACGACGACGACGACGACGACGACGACGACGACGACGACGACGACGACGACTTCTACTACCGGGGCGTGCGTAAAATGAGCCTGGCGAAGGACCCGACCATATGCAGTTGTGAATACTGTCGTTGTTGGTATCGCTTTCGGTGGATCCCCTTATGGGGCCACGAAGCGCGTGAAGAGTGTGCCGAAATAGGGCGGGGCCGCCCTGC